CCAAGCTCTTCAGGAGCCCCTGAAAAGTCGAAAGACGTGACAACCTGATGTGATCTAGATGTTTCCTGCCTGCTTCCTTCTTCACACGAGGCCGCAACAGGCCACAAGAGCCCCATGACGCCCGGGATGCTCTCCCCCGAGGTGGCCCCAAAGAGGCCCCAAGATGATCCCAAGACAACGCAAGAAGCATCCAAGGAACCAAGACCACCCCAAGATGGCTCCAAGAAGACCAAAGACCAGCTCGAGGCGGCTCCAAGACGTCATCTAGATGGGACCATGGCCTTCCAAATCTGCTCCAAGGCACCCCCAGACGGCCAGAAGGCTCCAAGATGGCCCGCCCCATCACGCTTTCAGGAGGTCAAAAAGTCTCCCGAGGGTTCCTCCAACAAGCCCTTGGGCAGGAGCACGTCGTCGAACTATCGGAATCGACTCGGATCGGGTCATCAATTCGGATCGTTCGGATCGGAACGGACCCTGCCTGGCAGACCCCAGGCCCCCGATGTTGCGCTGGGGCCCTCTGGGTCATGTGAAGATTAAGTGCCACATGTTACGGGCTTCTCTTCGCTCGCGAAGTGAGATGCTAAATCTAGATTGGAGAACGGAAGTCCCACCTGTGACAGCCGGGTTGCCCCTGGAGAAGACGAGCATCACATGTTACAGCCTGCGTGGGCCTGCGAAGGAGCGTGGCCACAAGCGGAGAGGGCCGCATGGTCAGGCCACTCAGCAGCGGAACGATAGTGGAACCAAAGGAAGGGCATCTTGCGCACCAGGAACCAGGCGGCCAAGGCCACAGGATTACTGCTTGCTCGGTCACAAACCCGCGGCAAAATCCCCCCAACAAAAACTCCCTCCACGGCCGCGGGCCTGTTCGCACAGCTTTTCAAACTTCTCGGGCGTAAACTTGTTGATCAGCGATCTCCACCTGTCTCGCGCGAGGGGGGGTCCTCCTCCTTCGCAATTGCCCCTCATCCTCCTCATCTACGGTCCTCCACCAAAGGCTTGCCTCGACCTTACGCGCCAGCCAGGGTGGTGGCGCTCAAAAACCGTATCACTTCAAGCCCTTCACCGTATCACTCCCCTCCTTTCTGCTCCCCATTCTCTCTCACGGAGGGGGGGGGAAGGGAGGGAGGGAGCAACCCAACCCAGTCGCTAGGCGCGCACGTCCCCATGGGAGGCAAGGAGAGCGGAGGAAGCAAGGAGGAGAGAAAAGAGAAAGAGGAGACGAAGAAGAGGCGGACGTGAAACATGAGGTGGGAGGGAGTGCGAACGCCGAGAAGACAGCCGAGGCACTGCTGCTGGGGGCCGGCTTTCTGCTTCAGAGCGGCCAACGCGCCGCTCGAGCGTTCCTTTTTCGGGTCGTCGCCCTGCTTCCGAGATTTAGCGTCGCCGTCTCTTCTCCTGCGGGACGCTGCGGGGCAACGGCGGGGGTGGGGAAGGCGAGAGGACGGGGGGAGATGGATACTGAGAGCGAGGGAGAAAGAGAGAGAGAGAGAGAAAGGGAGAGCGAGGGAGATGGAGAGAGAGAGAGAGGGAGGGAGATAGAGCGAGAGAGAGAGAGAGCACTACAAACAAACAAACATATAGAGAGGGAGGGTTGGAGATGGAGGGAGAGAGAGAGAGAGGGAGATGGAGATAGCGAGGAGAGAAATTAAGAATGGAGGGCGAGGGCGAGGGAAGCGGAAAGAAGAGATAATGCACAAAACGATCTACTAGGAGAACAATAACGAAAACATACCAAAATCATTCCTGCTACCTACTAAGAAACAAGCCCTCCCCCACCCGATCGGCGACAGCCAAGAAACATCCCGACACCGCCCACACACCATCCCTGTCAATAACAGTACAGGATTCACTTCGCGGGAAAGATTGCGATCATTTTGTGTTTTGTTGTCAGGGAGGGTAGGGGTGTCCTCGGCACACCATCCGTCAAAAACGAATGCACAGTGACCGCGGGTGCGCATACAATGCACCATGATGGCGACACCGCCGCCTTTTCGCATTGAATTTGGACAGGATGGTGTGGGCCGGCATGTTTCCCGATGTGTGCGGTCACGTGCAGTGGCGCACCTGGCGCGAGTGGAGCACGTGGCACACTTGGCGCATGTGGAACACGTACCGCGTCTGACGCACCAGGCGCGCCTGGCACGCTTGAGACCCTGGGGCCCCTGGCGCACCAGGTGCGCCAACGTCCCGCACCTGGTGTCTCTGTTGGTCCCCAACGGTTGCCCATCCAATGGCGACCGCTAGATATACTGAGACCCGGCCGCTACTTATGTGTTGGGAGGGCGGATGGGGATGAGCGCCGCGGCTTGCGGTCTGCGGGTAGCTTGAACCCCAACCCCACCACGTATCCCCCAGTCTGGACGGGGGGAGGCGAGGTGTCAGAGAGTTTTGTTGGGCCTAAGACGTCCCCATAAGGAGCCCAGAGATCTGAAGATGACGTCCAAGATGGCTTACGATGTCCAAGGTGGCGTAAGATGGCTTCCAAAATACCTCCAAGAGGCCCCAACACTGCTCCAAGATGGCCTTCAGCGCCCTCGGAACCCCCCAATAACGCTCCCTAGGGGTCAAGACCCTTCCAACACCTAAGGAAAACAATGCGGTGTGCCGTCTCGCCTTTTCGTTTGCGATGGTCTCTGGAAACCTCATGATGGCTCCAACAGGACCCAAGAGGGACCCGAGATGGTTCCACTACACACACCACAACGTGCACGTTTCTACCATCATATGATGCAGCACCCGGGCCTGGAGCAAAGGCAGACGGAACAGACGGCCCCCTTCGAAAGCCTTGTCAAGACATCGAGGTCCAACCTCTCCGCCTTTCGATGGAGCTTAACTTGCGCACACCCCGCCACACCTGCCCAGCACGTCGGCAAAAAAACAAGGGCTCCCAACTTCGCGCTTCGCGCTGCGCGAAGCGCGAAGTGCGAATAACTTCGCGCTCTCGCGCCGCCTCCCAGGGGAGAAGAGGAGGATGAGGAGGAGTCGGAGCCGAACCGCGAAGCGCGAAGCGCGAATAACTTCGCGCCCTCGAGGGCACCCTTGAAAAGGGACGGATAGGCGTGGGATTTGCCCCAGGTCAAACCATCAACGAAGACGAGCGCCAGTCGCCGCGAGCCGCCGAGGCAAAGGCCGCACACAAGCCCGAATGTACCCGAAGGCAGCTGCAAGGTTCCAAAAACCCCAGCAGCAGGCCGCCGCCCAAGGTCACGAAGGCCAACCTGGTCCACCAAGCCAGCAAACGCGGCACCCGACCGAAAATGCTGCAGCGCCCGGCCAAACCGTGAATAATTGCGCCTCAGACCCAAACCGAGCAGCGAGGGTGGGTAAGAGTGGGCTCGAAGCCCAATCAAGCGGCTGCACGGCTTGGGCCAAAAGCATCGGACAAGCGGGGGGAAAGTGTGGATAGTTCAGGTCCACAGACCCCCAGTGACAATGTGGCAAGACAGGTCCTAAGCCCCGGCTCGCGAAATACCGGAGGGGCTGGAGTGAATGAAGGCGTTGTCCAAGAGGTCTGGACCAAAGGGTTACCCATGAGGTCTGGACCAACGGATCACAGGGAACATGTTCTCTGCGACGCACACTGAACAAGGCACCCGCCCCAAAACAGTCACCAGAAGCGTTTGTGACTGTTTTGGGCGCACCCCAAAACAGCCTCTCAGCGTGTGTTGTCACACACCCCACTGGGCAACAGTCGGTGAAACTGTCGGTTCTTTGTCCCCCACGTCGCCACAAGAGCGCACGCGGCGCGTGAGTAATGGGACCCCCGCCCCGCAAACCGTCACCAGCCAAGCGAGAATCAGCATTACACTCGCGACACCGCACATGATTCGATCATTATGGAATGCAGCACCTGGGCCTGGAGCAAAGGCAGAAAGGAGGAGCGGCACTGATAGGCCACATCCCTTCCCCCCAGATGTTGGATAGCCACTGATCCAGGACCAACTTGCTTCGCATTCCACAGCGCGCGAGCGGGGAAGGGGGAAACAGAAAAGAAAGGAGGAGAGGACGAGGATGCAAAAGACACTCTGAAGAAGCATCGTCCCACCACGTTCACCACGAACCGGGCGAATAATAGTGCAATTAGAGCAGCCGCGCAGCGTGGGCAACAACGGCCGTGTGGATGCCCCTCAGATCAGCAACGCGCGAGTAACCCGTGACAAACCCGGACAGAGCTGACAGGTTGTCAATGCAGAAGGTTGCTGCGTGGTCAACCAGGAGAAAAGGTGCATCCCGAAGCAGCATTGCGAGGGCAAACGCCTCCGCCACGACGATTTGCGCCCAACGCTCAAATGCTCGTGCCCAAAACGTGGGCGGAACGTCGCACACCCGGCCCAATCTCACGCCGGACGGTAAAGACAAAATCCAACACAGACGGGGGCGGTGGACACCCTCTTCGGACCCGACGCGTCGGTTCAGACAGTCACGCGCGCAGCATGCGAACCAGGCACGCGGCACGCCTGGCAGTCCGCCGTCTCCAGCGCCTCTTGGAAAAAATCGAAAGGGAAGATAGGACATCGTCTGTGCGAGGATTCCCCTCCCGTAATGAGGGCCGCTGACCCCACGGTTCGCGAAAGACGAACTGGCGCGACTGAGCCTGCCCCGAAGGCGCGCCAGCGAACCGGCATGCCGACCCGACTGGAGAGCAGCAATGTTTTGCAGGAGCTCTACGAGGCGGATTCGTAGTAGGTCAGGGAGGCGGAGGGAGAATGGGAGGAGGAGAGAAGAGAAGCAGGGCGAAGAACAGGAGGAGGAGGAGGAGGAGAAGGAAAGAAGGAGGATGAGAAAGACTTTGCTGTGTGTTACGACGTGAAGTCTCATTGAGGCTCTGGTGTGTTCAGGAGCATGTGGCTTGCGCAGCGAAAAGGAGACCCAAGGCTGGCTGTTACCTGTGCGTTATACCGTTTCCGACTGCCGTTCCGGATTAGCAACAGAAGTCGGTGGGGCTTCAGGGGAGCCAAAAGGTCACGGCAGCTCTACGCTTGCGAGCCCCGGGAACCAAAAAGAGACGACAGAGGAGGAGTAGCAGGAGGAGGACTGCGTGTGTACTGTACAAGGTCCAGTGGCCATGGGGGCTCGGGGATGATCAGGACCATATTGGGCTTACAACGCAAAATGGGCCCAATGTAATTGCGCGTTTTCACGATTACAGCTGTCATATATTATAGACATGAAGGGAGAGCCCTCAGGGGAGCCAAGACGTGAAGACAGTTCTACGCTTGGGAGCCCCAGGAACCAAAATGCGTCGCCACAGAAGGAGGATGAGAAGGGGAATTAGGATTATGTCAGGTTCTTTCTAAGGTCAAGCGGTCTTGATACTCTGCGGTGGTTCGAATCGTAAGGCGTTTACCACGCACGGGACCCGATGCCGACTGTGCATGTTTACACTGCTTCCGATAGCCGCCTCGGACTTGAACCATTCAGTGGGTGCCCTGGATGGGGAGCCGAAAATCCGCCGACCCCCGCTTGCTGGGGGTGAGGAGGCGTGTGAGACGGTTGGCTGTCCCCCTCCCCGTTTCCCCCCCCCCCGCCGGGGCAAAAAAATCGCAGTCGAGGGTGGGGGCCGGAAGGGGGCACTGGGGGGCGAGAGGGCGGGTGGGTGCGAGATCGCCAGCGCACCCCCTGGGCTCTCTGGAGCCTCCAGAGAGCCCCAAGACGGCCCAACGAGCGCCGAGACAATCCAAGAGAGCGTCAAGGCGGCACAGGGTAACCCCAAGAGGCAAAAATTGGCCCATTCTCTTGGGAACACATACATTTTCGACATACACGCCTGTTTCGGGTTGACCGCGTCCACTAAGGCCCAAGGAGCCCACAAGATCGTCCCGAGACGACACATGAGGCCCCCGAGAGGGTCCCAAAACGGCCCAATAGAACCCCAAGAGGGACAAAGAGGGCCCCAAGACGGCCCCAGGAGCCACTAAGACGGCCCAAGAGGCCTCAAGAGGGGCACAAGACGGGCCAATGGAGCTCCAAGAGGGCCAAGAGGGCCCCAAGACAGCCGCAAGGGCCCCTAAGACGGCCCAGGCGGGCCCCAAGAGGGGCCCAAGAGGGGCAACACGAACTGACATCTCGAGTCTAGTCTATCCTGCTATGATGGCCGCAAGAGCCCCCCACTGACCCCCGAGGCGCCCCCAAGAGGCCACAACGCTTCCAAAAGGCACCAGAGAGGCCCCAGAAGCCAATCAGATGATCCCAAGAGCCCTTCGAGAGACCCCTGAGAGGCATTCCAGGAGACCCTCATATGCATCCTCGAGGCTCCTGACCCGCAGGCTAGGCACGGTGGCACGACATGACGAATTCGGTATTATGGGGGCTGGCGGAATTGCGTGAGCCTCTGGAATAACCACTGTCCTACGCGTGAAGCACCAGGATCCAAAAAAGTGGCGGCTGCTCTACAATGTGGACCACCTGGGACCAACAGCGACGACAGTTCTACACTTGGGAGCACCAGATGCTGGTACTGGTGGTGATGATGATGAAGAAGAGGGCTCTCAAGTGGGTCCGATTCGGTCGCGGTCACGAGGGGCACTCAGTGCAGCCCACGGAAAACGATCCCGAGACCAAACGCCAGCTGTTGACCTCTGCATCTGTCCCCATGCCCTCCTCTCCACACTCATCTCCCCCTCCCTTCATGTCCTCCCTGCCCCTCTGCTCTCTCTACCACGCCCCCTCCTCTCCCGTCCCTGTCACCGTCTCTCATCACCTGCCCCGTCCTGTCGTGTCCTCTCTCCTCTTTCCCTCTCCGCACGCCCATCTCCCTCTCCTCTTCAGCCTCGCCGTCACCACCGCCCAATCCCTCATTCCTCCACAGGAGCAAAAAGACAACCTAGCGGGAGGACGACGAGAGGGAGGGGGGGCATAAGAGTAGGAAGGGGAGGAAGAGAAGGAAGAAGACCAGCAAGAGGAAGACAGCGAACGGGAAGAATTGGAAAGAGGAACAGAGAGGGGGGATGAGGACGAGGAGAGGAGGAGCAGCAGGCGGGGGAGAAGGGCAGCCAAGCATGGCGAGGCATGGAAGAAACAGCTCAAGCGTCGCCTCCACGAGCCCTCGTCTGAGTCCCGTCCGCCACGCTTGGTTCCGTCGCTTGCCTTTGATCTCCATGAAAGTTTCGACCTCCACTCTCCGCAGGAGGAAGTGGAGGAGGAACAGGAAGAGCCCTGCACTCAGCTAGGCACTTCTAACCAGCTGCGCACTGTGGAGCATGGTCCAGCGCGCGTGCATTTTGACGAGCGTTGGGCGCACCTCTCGCGGAAACTGGACGAGGACGACGAACGGAGGCGGCTTCCCTTTACAAGACATGTCCAAAAAGGGCTCCAACCTACGGTCAGGAACTTGTGCCTAGGGTATAGCGACGGCGGCCCTGGCGACGCGCTATGCCCTGCAAGCGGATAGCGCGTCGCGGGGCGGGAGGCTGGGCAAGGTTCGGGACGTTGACACCTTGGGACCGCAACGTGGATAGCATGTCCCGCCGAAGCGTGGTGGGCCAGAACCAGCGCAGCGACACGCTAACCGAATGTTCCCTACCGTAATCACTATCTATATGGTAAGGGAAGATTCCCCCCTTCTGGAGGACGACCGGCGTTGCCTCTGACACCACGTGGATCGTACAACATTGAACGACAGCTGCCTTCCGACAGCGCAAATGGATCGACGCCAGCCAGTTCTTGCCCACTGGCGGAGTTCAACCTTGAACGTCTGCACTGGGATCGCCGCCGCGTCAAAGCGGCGCACTACCGTAGGCGTTAGAAGTAATCATGCCACAATGGTATTCCTCAATGGCTCCTCCAGAATGACCACCCTGCCCTGCCCTCGCGCGTCACGTGTCAGCTGGGACTTGCATAGGATATGCGACCCTAAAAAATATCCCGCACATGCCCTGTAGACGTAAATTATGTCAGAACTGTGACACTGGTTGCGTGCATTACTCATTTGCAAGACTTTCCCTTTCGTGGTTCTTCGATTTTCGGCGGCTGCGACAGCAAAGCTGGACTGCGAAACACTTCCACAACTGCCCCAGCATGCACTCTTGCCATCTCAATCAATGACACACTGTCGCCATGTTGTGCATATTATGCGACAGCGCACGTTTATCTGCTAATGATACACTGGTTGTCACCCAATCCCGTACGCGCAGGGTGTAGTAGTCGAAATTGCATCCCTTCCACTTCGTGCATACTGCCGACGCGTCAACCCCAAAGAGTTGATTCGGGTAACAATGTGTGTGCACGTGTGGAACCTCATGCGGGATAACATTGCGTGTGGAACCTGTTTATTAGAAATCCGCTGTGTGTGCGGAATCCGATGTAACAGCAACCCACGTGTGGAGCCCAGCGCGTGTGAAACCCAATGCGCGCGGAACCCATTGTGTGGAAACATGTGGATGGAAACCTGTATGAGACGAACCCACTGACGCTGTGGCCCTGGCATTCACATGCAGCGAACCGTCTACCTCACCAGGAATCGCATCCAACGTGCTCGACTCGGGCAGAGTATTGGACTTCGCTCAAACTGCTCAAACGCTACAAATCCAGCTGGAATCGAAATGAAAAGGCCCATTATTGATATTCCATTCGCCGTTCGGCCATGCGAGAGTCGGGGCAATCGCAAACAAGCCAACGCACGGCATCGACCCAACTTGCCCCTTGGGGAGACCCATGGGTGGCACCACATGTATTATGCGTGTGGTACCCTATGTGAGCGTGTGCGTATGTGGCACCATATGTGGGTGGACCCCTCAAGACTGGTGAAGCTGCCCCTGGGCGCCCACACGAACCGAAGCTGTCACTGGACAGTGCAGCAGCCACGCATAGGAGCCCATAGGAACCGAAGCGGTCACCAGGCAGTACGGCAGTAGAGAAGAAGTGGGAACCCGTCAGCGCAAGCAGGAAACCAACAGGAACCTAAGCAACCACCAGAAAGTGCGGCAAACACTCAGAAGAACCTGCGGGACCACAAGGGGCCACCAAAAAATGCGGCAGGCGCAAAAGGAACGGGTACTGTCGGCAGCCACCCATAGGAACCAATGGTAAACCAAGCAGTCACCAGACAATGCCACAGCCAAAGCGGCCACTGGAAAAGACGGCAGGCACCCATGGGAACCGACAGGAACCGAAGCGGTCACTAGACGATGCGGCAACCACCAAGTGGAACCCGTAGCAACCCAAGCGGCCACCAGACAGTGCGGCAGGCAGATCCAGCCCCCTAGAGAGCAAGTAAAAACACCTTGATGCAAGCACTCTCTGTTGAACTAAGCACTACGATACCATGTATGGTCACTGCATGCGCCGTGTACCCCTATTCCTGTTGAGGGCATACTCCCACTTTGCCACCTAGCCAGCTGATAGCTACCCCAGCCAGAACGCTACCTCAGCCAGAAAGCTCTGCCCGATCCATCAAAAAAACAACTGACGGTTGGCGTGTTTCCTTTCAACATGGACGCTTTGTCGTCGACGTTGCAAGCTGCGCGGCAAGAACGGGACGGGGCGCACATCGCGCACGAAAGGGGAAAAAATCGCTCTCGCATCCGCGCAGCATACACTTCTCCTAAGAATTGGGCTCCAGGTTCGGCGCGCGCACACTTTTCGATCGCCAATTCAACGCCAGCGAGGTCGAGCGCGAGCCGACGAAACGTCGCTCTCGCCTGGGTGCCGCGCAGGTTTCGCCTGATGAAAGTGGCGCTCCCGCTTGGCCGCTGCGCATATTTGTCGAAGCTACGTACAGAAATCGACTGAAGTGGCGTTCCCGCTCTGGGGCGGTATCTGTTTTTCGGCCGCCTAGTCGCAGGAAAGCGGCAGCGGCAGCGGGGCCGCGCGAGAGCGGGCGAAATGTTGTTCTCACCCAAGCTCCGCGCAGATCTTGCGTGAGAGTGGCACTGCTGCTTCGGCGCGGAAAATGCGTCGGCTTCATCGGAAATGTGGCCGCGGGAGAGAGGGCCGAGTGGTGCTCTCGCCGCAACTCCAGCGCCCGTGCGAAGACCGTGATTTTTCACCCTCGCCAGATCGTCGGGAGCGGGTCTGCGCGCGAGCGCCTTCCGTTCGCCAGGCCAGGGGGAACGCGCTCTGGTCGCGATATCAAGTTGCGCCACCATTAGCTCTCATGTGCTGGGAGGGAGGGTGAAGGTGGGCGGGGCCCGCTGACTCGCTCGACACCAGTGGTTCAACCATAAAACACTATGTCAGCTCGTCCTCTACAGCTTCCCACAGCGCTCCCGTTCTAGTTCCACCAACCCGATGCTGAGATCCCCCAGTGCTCAGACAAGTCTCGGGATGAAAAGCAACATCGCCGCCTCTGTTCCCCCATCTGTAGCGCTCCTGTCCACCAAGATGGCCAACGTTGGCCCCTCCGCCAAGATGCACAAAGTTGGCCACTCAATTGCTGGACGACTGGAGGGCAGGAGGGAGGGAGAGAGGGACGGACAGGAGAATGCGAGCGAGAGGGCCAGAGATGGAGAGATGGGGAGATGAAGGGAGGAAGGGGCAAAGAGCAGCTGGGGGGGGGGCAAGGGAGGGGGAAGGGCGGAGGGGGGGCTGAAGGACGGAGGAGGTGGGAGGCCGCCTGGGGCCTCGCACTGCCCCGCCGCGCCTCCACGACGTCAGGCCGCCGGTCTCCTTGGCGGCCTTGGAGCTGGAGTTCTCGTCGCGCTGGGGGGGGGGGAGCGGCAGGAACAGCTGGAGCACCCTCCCCTGGTCTCGAGGATGGAGGGGGAGGAGGAGGGAGCGGGAAGGAGCAGGAGGGGGGGGAGCGAGCGGGGGCAGGAGGGCAGGAGGACGGAGCAGCAGGGGCAGCGGGAGGAGAGAAGGGAAGCTCGACGGCTGCAGGACTGCCGCAGGTCAGTCGCCACCAGCAGATCTCATCCGAGATTGCCTCCACGAGCTGTCGCGGGATGCTTACTCCACCGAGCATCTTACGCCCGAGCGAAAGAATGGAGGGAAGCAGGGAAGCAGCGATTGACGGGAGAGAGGCATGAAGAGAGAGGGAGGCGGGGGCAACAGGGGTGGACGAGACAAAAGCGAAAGAGGAAAGAAGCAAGCTAGTTGCGCTCTCGCCACATCTGGCATCTTAACCTCTGGCGCCCGTCCATTCCCCTTTACATGGCGTTCTTTCTATTCGCAGTGTCGGCTGTCGCCTCGGGACTTATCCATGAAAGGCGAAAGGCGTTGAACGCTGGACCCGTCGTCTGTTCTGGAAAGGGTGAGGAGGATGGACAGAACTGCGAAGCAGGCAGGGAAGTTCGGCGACGAGCGGGAGGTGGGACGGCGCGCAACAGACAAATCAATGCCGAGGCGCCGCATCCCCCCACGAATCATAGTACGAGGGGGAACGACACAGCGGGGGAGGGGAGAGCGGAGGCCCAGCCCCACTAGCTATGATGTCGCCAAAGCAGGCCAGCAGCCCTCGACAACCCTGCTAGCCTCTGCTCAGACCCACTAGCCCTGGTGATTGCGGGAAGCGCTGGTTGCCTCAAAAGGGGGGTCGTGAGACCTGCAGACCGCAAGCGGCGTCCCCGACACCCGTTCACATGATCCATCCGCGCTAGCGCCAGGGAGAACGCGCGTGCTAACAGATGTTGCTGCGAAGCGAATACGTACATGCAGGGTGGAGCGAGCGCGCGGCAGGGCTCGTCGTCCTCCTCCTCCTCATACTCCTCCTCCTCCTTCTCTTCCTTATTTTCTGGGGCAAGCCGCAGGGCACGCACACCCGTAGCGTCTGCTCCTCCTCCTCCTCCTCCTCCTCCTCCTCCTCCTCCTCCTCATGATCTTCCTCTGTCTCCTCCTCCTTCTACTACTACTCCTCCTCCTACTCCTCCTACTCCTCCGTGCATGTTCCTTATGAACAACTCCTCCCTGTTGCAGCCCGAGGCCAGTCGGAAGGGCGGGCCTGGCGTTTCGCCTGAGACTTCCTTACCATGTATGATCCTGAAGCTCAAACATTGGCAACAGTTTCACACATGGAATGCGGGTTGTTTTCAAAATGTGGCCCCGCGCGCAATCGTCGCAAAAGTTGACAAGAACTTCTCGGATTGTGAGCGGGTAGATTTCAAAGTGTGGCTCTCGCCTTAGCGCCGCGCACGTTCGCCTGATAAAAATGCAAGGATATTCACAGATTGAAGGCGGGTCGCTCTCAAGATGTGGCTCTCGCCTTAGCGCCACGCACACTCGTCTTGAAAATTTGATAGAGCTTCACGGATCGAGGGCGATTCATTTTCTAAATGTGGTTCTCTCCTACGCGCCGCGAACATTCGCCTCGAAAATTGCAAGAGTTCCGAGGACTCCCATGAAAAACGTACCCAATATGGCGTTGTGGACGGATTCGGGATCATCAGGGCGCAACAGATACGTTGATTCGCGGTGGTGAACCCGGAAACGGCGTTCTGGCACAATTCCGGATCGTCACAACGCAACAGTCAAGTTCATTCGTGGCGCTGTGATCCCGAGAATGCTGATTTGGCACGTTTCAGGATTATCAAAGGGTTTCTCCCAACGGGGCAGTTCCAACTGAGGAAATGAGAGGGAGCCTGGAGGGAGGCTTTATTCCAACGCTGATGAGTCTTGGGTTTGCATTAGTCCTCCTCCTCCTCCTCCTCCTCCTCTTCCTCCTCTTCCTCCTCCTCCTTCTTCTCCTCCTCCTCCTCCTCCGCCTCCTTCTCCTCCTCCTCCTCCTCCGCCGCCTTATCCTCCTCCTCTGTATCCACCTCCTCCTCCTCCTCCTCCTCCTCCTCCTCCTCCTCCTCCTCCTCCTCCTCCTCCTCCTCCTCCTCCTCCCCACCCTCATCCTCCTCCTCTTCCTCCCCTTCCGTTGCCTCTACCTAGTCCGTCCCTGCTCTCTCTCCTCGCTTCCTCCATCCCCAGCCTAACCCCACTGCCCCCCCCCTTCTGTTCCCCCGTGCCTCCTCCTACTTGCCTTTTACTTACTCTGCCCCCTCGTTCTCAACCACCACCAACTCCTCCCTCACGGGCTGCAACAGGAGTGGATGGCCCAGGGGAGCATTACATGTATCCTAGGGCTCGAATCGCCAACTTTCTGGACGAAGCATGAAAAAAACTACGCGTACTGCTCCCCCGTTTGGCTATCCGCTCCTGTTGCAGCCCCCGAATCCAGCCTCCTTCCCCTCTGAGTATGCTGTCTCAGGGGCTCCCGTGAGAGGGATAATCGACCAACGGGAGGAGAAGGGGGTGAGGAGGGAGCGGAAGGGAAGGACTCGAAAAGGCACAGGAACAGCAGGAGTTACCACTTATCCCGCTCGCCAGCACCCCCGAAACAACTCAGCAGACCCTCCTCCTCCTCCTCCTCCTCCTCCTCCTCCTCCTACTACTACTACTACTACTACTACCACCACCACCACCACCACCACCACGACTACTACTACTACTACTACTACTACTACTACTACTACTACTACTACTACTACTACTACTACTACTACTACTACTACTACTACTACTACTACTACTACTACTACTACTCCTGCTCCTCCATGCATTTTCCTTATGAACAACTCCTCCCTGTTGCAGCCCGAGGCCGCTCGGAAGGGCGGGCCAGGCGTTTCGCCTGAGACTACCTCACCATGTATGATCCTGAAGCTCAAACATTGGCAACAGTTTCACACATGGAATGCGGGTGGTTTTCAAAGCGTAGCTATTGCCTTGGCCCCGCGCAGAATCGTCGCAAAAAGTTTACAAGAACTTCTCGGATTGTGAGCGGGTAGATTTCAAACTGTGGCTCTCGCCCTAGCGCCGCGCACGTTCGTCTGATAATTAGCCTGGCGATGGACCCAACCATATGCAGTTGTGAATGCCGCAATTGTGTTGGGTGGTGGCGGACGCATGCGGGCGGTGCCACTGGGACCTCCGGTGGAGCTCCCTATGGGGCCACGAAACGCTGTACTGGGTGGGTGAGACGCGGTCAGCAAGGGCTGTGCTGCGTGGTGGCGGACGCATGCGAGCGGTGCCACTGGGACCTTCGGTGGAGCTCCCTATGGGGCCACGAAACGCTGTACTGGGTGGGTGAAACGCAGGCAGGGAGCAAGGGCTGTGCAGGGTGGTGGCGGACGCATGCGGGCGGTGCCGCTGGGACCTTTGGTGGAGCTCCCTATAGGGCTACGAAGCGCTGTTCTGGGTGGGTGAAGCGCAGGGAACAAGGGCTGTGCTGGGTGGTGGCGGACGCAAGCGGGCAGTGCCACTGGGACCTTTGGTGGAGCCCCCTATGGGGCCACGAAACGTGCGAGGGGTGTGCCAGAATGGGGTGTGGAACCGCATGCCAGCGCAGCCACTGGGGCCTTCGGTGGAGCTCCCTATGGAGCCACGAACGTGTGAGGGGTGTGCCGAAATGGGGGGTGGAACCGCATGCGAGCGCAGCCACTGCGGCGTTCGGTGGAGCTCCCTATGGGGCCACGAGACGTGTGAAGGGCGTGCCGAAAAAGGGGGTGGAACCGCATGCGAGCGCAGCCACTGGGGCCTTCGGTGGAGCTCTCTATGGGGCCACGAACCGTGTGAGGGGTGTGCCGAAATGGGGGGGGAACCACATGCGAGCGCAGCCACTGGGGCGTTCGGTGGAGCTCCCCATGGAGCCACCCACGAAGCGTGTGAGGGGTGTGCCAGAATGGGGGGTGGAACCGCATGCGGGCGCAGCCACTGGGGCCTTCGGTGGAGCTCCCTATGGGGCCACGAAACGTGTGAGGGGTGTGCCAGAATGGGGGGTGGAACCGCATGCGGGCGCAGCCACTGGGGCCTTCGGTGGAGCTCCCTATGGGGCCACGAAACGTGTGAGGGGTGTGCCAGAATGGGGGGTGGAACCGCATGCGGGCGCAGCCACTGGGGCCTTCGGTGGAGCTCCCTATGGGGCCACGCCGTGCATGCCACTGGGGTCCCTATGGGGCCACGAAACGTGTGAGGGGTGTGCCAGAATGGGGGGTGGAACCGCATGCGGGCGCAGCCACTGGGGCCTTCGGTGGAGCTCCCTATGGGGCCACGGTGGAGCCACCGCATGCGGGCAGCCACTGGGGCTTCGGTGGAGCTCCCTATGGGGCCACGAACGTGTGAGGGGTGTGCCAGAATGGGGGGTGGAACCGCATGCGGGCGCAGCCACTGGGGCCTTCGGTGGAGCTCCCTATGGGGCCACGAAACGTGTGAGGGGTGTGCCAGAATGGGGGGTGGAACCGCATGCGGGCGCAGCCACTGGGGCCTTCGGTGGAGCTCCCTATGGGGCCACGAAACGTGTGAGGGGTGTGCCAGAATGGGGGGTGGAACCGCATGCGGGCGCAGCCACTGGGGCCTTCGGTGGAGCTCCCTATGGGGCCACGAAACGTGTGAGGGGTGTGCCAGAATGGGGGGTGGAACCGCATGCGGGCGCAGCCACTGGGGCCTTCGGTGGAGCTCCCTATGGGGCCACGAAACGTGTGAGGGGTGTGCCAGAATGGGGGGTGGAACCGCATGCGGGCGCAGCCACTGGGGCCTTCGGTGGAGCTCCCTATGGGGCCACGAAACGTGTGAGGGGTGTGCCAGAATGGGGGGTGGAACCGCATGCGGGCGCAGCCACTGGGGCCTTCGGTGGAGCTCCCTATGGGGCCACGAAACGTGTGAGGGGTGTGCCAGAATGGGGGGTGGAACCGCATGCGGGCGCAGCCACTGGGGCCTTCGGTGGA